GTCCCCTGTAGAACATTCCACCACAGCCCCATGATCCCCTCTAGAACATTCCACAGTAGCCTCACAGGTCCCCTGTAGAACATTCCACCACAGCCTCATGATCCCCTTGCTCCTCAGAGCATGTGGCCGCCAGCCCCAGGAGCCCAGCGTCTTCAGACGCTCCCAGGGTGGACCCGCACATTGTCTCCGCTCCGAAGCAGATGCTATTGGTCCAAGAAGATACTCGGGTAGTCTTCGGTGGCTGCAGGACAATGATGCTGCGCCTGGGCCCCTCTCCCACCACCTGCCTGCCCACAGAGGTGAAGACGCCCCTGCTGTCAGCCCTCACGGGATCCCTGAGGGGAGGGTCCGAGCTGTGAGGAGGGGAGTGAGTGAAGGCCCAGCCAGAGAGCCAGCCTCCATTGGGAACAGACGCAAGGGTAGGGGTAGCTCACCAAATCCCTCCATGGGAACAGGCCGGGCGCAAGCACAAAGGAAGCCACGCTGGAGGCAGCAGCCCAGGGCTGACTTGCAGACACCGGCGGTCCACGCCCTGGAGGGCTCCACCCAGACACAAGCTGCAACGGTTTTCTATGCTGTGTAAGCAGCAGCACAGACGTAAGGACTGCAAGCAGTGACCATTTATGATCTCTCAGCTCTCCAGGGCAGAAGTCCGGGTGCGCTCAGCGGGTGCCCTGTGAGGGGTCTCTCGGGCTGACGTCAGGCCTTGGTGGGCTGCACTCTCATCTGGAGGCTCCAGGGAAGCGCCTGCCTCCAGGACCATTCAGGCTGTTGACAAGTCAGCTCCTCATGGCTGTAGGACTGAGGTTCCCACGTCCTTGTCCCTGCTCCCGCAGCCCCTCCACCTTCAAACCAGCAATGGTGCATTCAGCAAATTGTAGTCAAATATACATCACATAAAATTTACCATTTTAACCATTTTTAAGTGTACGGTTTGTGGCATTACATACATTCACATCGTTGTGCAACCATCACCACCATCTATCTCCAGAACTTTCCATCTTCTCAAGATGAACCTCTGTCCCCAGTAAACACCAGCTCCCATTCTCTGCCCTGGTCCCTGGCACCCACCATCCACTTTTTGTCTCGATGGTTCAGCTGCTCCAGGGACCTCATTTGTGTGGGGTCACACAGGATTTGTCCTTTTGTGTCTGGCTTATTTCACTTACT